AGAAGTTTAGCCGAGAAGCATCAGCTAACTTATTAGAAAGCATACCTTCCACTCTGTTCCACTAAATTCACCATCGTTAATGGGGCACCATAACATTCTGTCATTTTTTGGATATGATTCGAAAAAGCAGGTAATGATTCGGCAAATGTCTTGCTAATAACTAGTGGTGGACGATAACGATAACCCTGTTGCATCCAGAATACTGGAACTGATCCTCGAATCTAAAAAAAAATTATCTTGGCAATCGTCTACTCTGTCTGAGTGGTGGAGAAATCCGGATGCAGCCCAAAACGTAGCACGTGTCAAGAGTAGCCATCCACTGGCAAAGCCGCCATAATCTCCACGTCCGTAAGTTGATCAGAAGTAAGTTACCGGTTATGCTAAGTAGTCCCCCCCCCCTGCTTTCTCCCCTTTCTTCTTGTGTCACTACCAATTTACCATCGAAACGAATGAATGAGTCGAGAAAGCTGGTTGTTCTACTTTTACAGACTTTTGTAGAGCTACGAGATTTCCTTCACTGGGACGAGGAAGAGGGTTTTCTTCTGGTCTAGCCCACAAATAACTAAAATTCAGTCACTTCATAGCCAGTTCAAAATTCATTCTTTTGAAAAATTACGCTGAAAATTAATTCCCAGTCAAACTCAGATTTTTTTTTAATATCATAACCAGCCGAAATTCCTTAATAAACAGTTCAAAAAATAAATCAAAAAGGTCCCTAAACAGACCAAAAATTTATCCCTTTTTTTCCTTAATAAATAAACCAGAAAATTAATTCTCCTTGAAAATTGAGTTGCAATTTAATGCAAACCTGCACGAACGATAAGCAATGGCCAAAAACAGTAAGTGCTACTTCAGTTTCAACAAAATTTGCTACATTCCCATCCTCATCGACACCGCGTTTCAAATATCGCACACCGGCTCGATTCACGGAACGCCGCGAAATCAATGTGATTTTTAATTCGGTCTCAGCTTCAAGCGATACTTTCCTGTAATCGATGTAACAAATTATCAAATTTCATTTTTTGACAAATACGATCTCTTGCCTGCCTTTTAATACACAGAGGATGGCCAAGTTGTTAAGGTATACCAACGGGACCTAGAAACAACAACATTCAAGACGGGGAGATGCTGCTTAATACAAAATAAAGAACTATCGAAATAGCTGAATCCCTGAGAAACACTTTCGTTAAGTAAGCTGTTATGAGGTTAATAACTCCGAGAAATGAAAAAGCGAATGTTAGGGATCACAAATAAGCTGACCACTTGGCAATGCAAAATTGGTCAAGCAACTAAAAAAGATTGCGCAACTTGTAAACTACTATAACTACACTATTGCATGCTTCTAATACTACTGCTGCAGCAACCGTCACAGTGACGAGGTCCAG